AAAAAAAATATGAATTTACTTAAACTATTCCTACAAGGGTAATATACAGCAAGTGAAAAACCACTAACACAGTAGTTCTCATAGTGGTTGCTTTTATGTATGCATACTTTAGATAATTTTAAGTGGTTGGAATAGGTCCAGAGAACACCTGTATTCTGTGGTGGTACCATTTAATGTTATAATTATTTTAAAGACTTAAATCATTCAACATTTAATTTGAAAAATTAAACACAAGTTTGTTGTGGGCAAATTAGTGGTGATAAAACATTAGTTAATCTAAGATCTGCTCTTAAAATTTATTCTGATTGAATCACTGATTGGCCCCACCTTCCCCACCATATTCACTCATAATATGATTTGCTATTTTATGATTCTTGACAGTTGAAAAAACAATTTTAATACTTGAAATGCAAGTCTAGCTGTGGCTTCATTTTAAGAATTTGGTAATTTTGCAAAAGTGCTTGAATGCTTGTTTTAAGATTGCTACATCTCAACTCTTATAAGAGCTTCAGCAAAATCAATTTATATGACTGGCAATACTAAGCTACTTTAAAATTATTTTTAATAATTTTATTTGTTTGGGTTCTGCTTGTTTGGGTTTTATATACTGCTGTGGCATCCTTCCTTTAAGGATATAAACTATAATTAGAAACTATATGGAGAAAAGTGACTAGTAAACAAATCTGAAGGTTTTTAAAAATTTCACAGTACATTAGTAATTGCTTTAAAAGACAACCCATCCAATATCATAGATGCAAGTTAATACTACAAATTCAAAGATATAAGAAAATAGATTGGACTTACTTTTACAGTCACCTCTACAGATGCTCTATAATAACCACACTAGTATGATGATAATAAGGCAATCAAGAACAATTTGTCTCTGTCTGTGTATATGACTATGTGCATATTTATTTCACACACATACACATGCCAAATACCCAGATAACTTCAATCCTATATCCATTTACTTCTCAGAGTGATTTAAAGTAACCACAGTGACACATAAAAGGAAAAAAAATAATGAATTCCAGGCTTCCTAGTAAGTAAAGCCAAATCAATGTTCAAGTGATACTATAGTCACTATTTTTACAGGAAAACACAGATTTCTATACTTTCTGGTCAGTTACATTATCATTAAAGTACTATTTGTCAATATTGATTTCACATAATGAAAATGAAACACTCGACTTATTCAGGATTATATACACTACATGAAAAAAATAGATTTTGAGCTTATTTTTTGACCAGTCATCAAACGTGTTTTCATTTGAATGAGGAAAATACTTTCAGTTTAAGTTTATCCATTTTTTTTCAATAAAAAAGTAAATTTACAAAAAAAGTTATTGGTCTCAATATGGTCTTCCAGTCTTCAAATTCAGCCTAACAGTACAACGATTACAAGAGGAAAAAAAATAACACAATCTCTGTGGCTATCATCTTTGGGGCTGGTTTTCTCATATTGCTGAATTATACCACAACCTGTTGTGTTTCCAAGGTTTGGATGGTGCTTTAAATCTGAACTGCCTGAGAAGATTCAGAAAGGCTTTGTTCTTGGGCTTACACAGTAAGCACTTTGCGTGATTCCTAATCACATTTTTATCCAGAACACAGTGTTACAGGTCACATTTTTCTCGATAATGCTTATACTGATTGATGCTCTATAAATACAAAATATTTACACAGAATACACACACTGACATGGGGGTATGAAGTTAGCCAGCCATCCACAGGAAGAATGGAATAAAAATTGCAGGAAGGGTAGTGTATGATACCAAGCCCGTACAGACTATAGATGCCAATCCCAAGACTGCTGAAGCAAGAACACTTCTCTGATCACGAATAATTATCTTCACAGTCTCACAAAACTGGAAAATAAAATTTAAGAAAATTAGGAAAGGTGACTAAACCCAAGAAGAATCACATATATCAAATAGTAAGCCAGTTTTCCCAGCTATTTTCTGTCTACCAGAAGAACTAGAAATTCTCTTATGACTTATAAAAAAATTTACAACATTAAGAGTCCAGTTCTGATTCTATACCCTATAGTAGCAGAAATGATCCTTTCAGCAACTAAGTTAATAATGGCAGTTGCCTATGTAAATACAGCATTTATAGAAAACTATAGAAAGTATAACCACATAGTTATTCAGGACTAAAGGTTAAAACAACATCAAACTGCTTATCAATAACAATAGCATATTCTGAAATTAGATGAAAAAAGAGGTCTCTAATCTTGAGTAAAAATAATAGAACTTAGCCGATTAAAGGTAGATTCAATTCCTCCAATTTGCCATTCTAAGACCTAATGATACCAATGATAACTTTTTATAAGTCTCAAAATCTACAAGCATAGGAAGTCTAATTTTAATATCAAATCCCATTCCCTGACTAAATACGTTAAATTCACCATTGATTTTGTGATACACAACTGGTTGCTGGAAATAAAAACAACTATTGTCCCTACCCCTGAGGAATGCATCCTTCTAATATGTGTAATGTTTTCCTTAAAGAAATAGTTTTACCTAGAAGTGACGGCCTACATCTGGGTCCTGGCTCCAACTCTTCTTATTGGCTGTGTCACCTCAAGTAAGTCATTTAACCTATACAGGCTAACCTCTTCTACTCCTCCATGAGAACACTCAAATTGTTCTGAGGATCAACTGAGATGTTTCATGCACAAGTACCCTGTATTCTTCTACGTGCCATATAATAATTTATTACAATGATTATTATTACTACTGTATTTGTTGACAATTATCTCTACCACATTGCTGTTGATGCCAGAATGCAGTGACTGTCATTTCTATATGGGTTTTGCTATTCATACTAATTTTAAGCTCTTTTTCTAGATGTGGCATTGTATGTGCTTTATGGGTTTTCTACAGTGGCTTACATGGTACTGGGCAGCTAGGTTTCGAAATTTTTCAGGGATAGAATGAACAAGTTCAGTGTGTTTCAATATACCATCTTGACAGTATGGTTGCCTCTATCAATACTTTTACACAATTACCTAAGCAAGTGTGAAATATTCTTTTATCTAGATGTTGGTCTGTTTTTCTATCAAACATACTATTTGTCTCTTTTTAATAAACTAGCAAGGCATTGAGAAGTATACTATTTTAAGGTGGCGAAGATCAAATTGAAGTTTTCAGGACAGGGAGAAATGGAGGTTGACAAATAATGGAGGACATATATTTTGGTACATGAGCAAGTTGTGAATACAGTTATCCTTATTTTATCTTTTCCTTGATAATTTATAAGTCAGTCAGAATCATTGTGGGCTGTATTTCCCACAAAAGCAGATTTTTCAAGGAGCATGTCATGTCTAATACCCTGTTCCTGTTCACTTGGTCAGCAGACCATCAGGCATCTTTAGTGGTGCTCAACAGTAGGAAATTTCTAGAAGGGGTCAAGAAGTCTGTAGGAACACTTTCGTGAGCACTCAATCCACACAAATTAAAAGGGTCATTTGCAATCACTTTTGGCAAAAAAAAGAGCACTATTAACAAAGTAAAAAAAAAAAAAAATCATAGTAGAAAGAGCATAAGGAATAGTAATAGTCATTAACCAAAGGAATTTTTAGTTTAAATACTGATTGTCAACAGCTATATTTTTAAAATCCCATAATTTTATGACTTTTAAACTTGTAAAAAAGAGTATTACCACAAAGAAGTAAATGTTCTTTTCCAGTTCATTCATTTGCAAACTAATTGCCATGTTTTCCTTAGGAATTGTGTGTTCTTAAGAGTTTTTATTAACTCAAAGTTAAGTAAGAGGTAACCTTGCATCTTTCATGTTAATAGTTGCATATATGGAGAACTCAACAATCAGACCCAGAATTAAATAATTTCTTACGTTTCTAAAAAGTAGAAACCAGTCCTTCCTTCAGTGTTAATGACCTACTTCTCTCAGGGCATGTTCAAAAACAGTTTGTAGGATTAGGAAATTTGGGATGAAAACTTTTTTCCCCCGGGAAATCTACTCTGTGGCCAAATTGTTTGTTAGACCATTCAAAGTGAAGACAAAACTCAGTTTCACAAGAGGTGCTATGCAGCAATAGCAATTAAAACACTTCTCTACTTCTGTAAACCCTGACAAAGTTTCCAAAGATGAAAAACTACTGCAACTAGTTATTTATGCAGATTAAATATTTTACTACCTTAGAAAAGCACTAGTTACTGTTTTTCTGTAGAAATATATAATGGAGTGCTATATGTGTTCCACGAAAGGGTAACTCCTAATTACTGGACAGAAACACTGTTTTTCCTTAGAGAAATGATTTGCTTGGTTCCTAAGTAAATCTGACGTGTTTCCTTTTGTACACTTTGGGAGCCAGTGTTTGTAAATGTGGTGGAGTTCATTTCTAAACAGGCCTGGACTAGAGCTGTGATTCCTGAATCGCTGCACAGTGCTCTAACTGTATTTTTATTTTACTTGGAAAAGAATTCCTAGATGGAGTCTTTTGTGGCTGTATAAAATCTACAAGGAGTTTCATACACCAATCTATAAAAGCAGAATACTTCCATGCTCTCCCACAGAGGGTAAGATATTCCCAAATGGGTCAAAAATATTAACCAAGATGTGGAGCAATTAAAAATTGGTTACATGAAAAAAATGGACTCAGATTTTTCTGGTCTGCAAAATATCTAAACATGAAGACTAACACTAAAGCTTATTATGTTATTGCCCAGGTTTCCACTATAAAGAGTGAACATTAACAATAGCTTCTTTAACAAGCGCAATGAAGGCTAAAAGAGCTTCCAATTGTAAATGAAGTTGTAGGCTTAAAATATTAACTATCTTTAAAAGTTAAAGAGGTTTTAAAAGGAAATAAGAATCCATTTCCCCTTTGCGTTTGTGGCTAATTTAATAATATTCTATTATAATACTGTTTTTCAAATTACTCATAAAAATTACCTTCCAACATTTAACATCTCTTCTTGAAAACTAATTGTATTGATCTCTGGGGAACTCATAAACAATCTAATCTACCTTGAGGGCTAATGGGTAAAGGATGCTTAACAATGAGGAAGTCTAGATGGGGATTAAAGCCAACCCAGAAAGAAATTAGAATACCAAGGAAAAGACTACTCTGAAGCACCGACACAAGAACAAGGGACCTACCAGGGAGGCCCTCTTACTAGGAATTTTGATAGCTTATAGCAAACAATGAAAAATCCCTCTATGCAGCTTACAGAGTGAGAAAACTGCATGCTTCCTTATTTTAAAGGCACACACTTTGTTTATAATGTTAAGGATTAAATATAAATTCTGGACATCTTCCTTTCAAGTTAAATTCTTGGTTAAAGTTGCAAGCAGCAATGACTGATTTCTTGTATCCCCCGCCCCCAGTCACTTGCCCTTTGTCATTTGAACTACATTGTGGGTGGACACCCTGATGACTTCTGCAGCAATACTGAGCAGCTCTGGAATCTATGGAAGCGGCCCTGCGTTGCCACACCCTTTCTCTGTGCATTTCGAAAATCCTACAAGGCACGTTGCCATTTATTTCCTTAGCCTACCTTAGGAACACCACAACTTTCCTTACTTAATCTAGAACTTTAAGAATGGAATGGGAGTGGTGGGGGTAGGGGGGTGCATCAAGGTAGAAGATCCCTACTCACAGGGAAGAGAAAACATCAGGGATGGGAGGGGGCATCCCCGCCGAGCTCACTTCCCTGCGGGTCACAGGTCATACCTTGTCGGACTGGGGACTGATCGGGGTACCATATCTGCAGTAGGTCACGAAGTGCTCACAGTTGTTCCACAGCAGGCTGTAGGGAGTTAAGCCCAGCAGCTTCTCAGCCCTCCGGGCCACCTCCTCGTTAAGCAGTGCCTTCTTCTGGAGGGACTGGTCCAGGTGATTGACCAGGATGTTAGCTCCGTAGGCGAAATCCTCCACTGTGTCCACGCGGATACTGGCCACTTTGACAATGACGCCCAGGATGAGACGTTTGTTGGAGACCACCTTCTGCGTGCGCCCCTTGTTGTCTGTCAGGGCCAACAGGATGTCGGGCATCATGTGGGCAACACGGTTGTCGCCTAGATAGATGCCATAGTGGGTCAGGTGGGTCCGGGGCACCTCCAGCACGTCGCCTCGGTGGAAAGAGCTGGTTTCATATAAACTGTTCCTCCCTTTGTCTTCGCCCGCGGCGCCCGAACTGAAGAATGTGAAGTTGGAGATGAGGAGCAGCTTCTCCAGCAGTAGAGACACCACCTCCAGCATGGGATTCTTCATCCTACAGGGAAGAAGGAGTCTTGGAGAGGTGCCGGTGCCGCTCTGGCAGGGCTGGCCAAGGTAAGCTCGCCGGACAGGGGCGCTGCGCTGCTGCTCACCTGCAAGCCAGGTGAGGTACAGCGCAAAGTACCGCTGCTGCGGAGGAGGACAGCGAGGTCTGGCGACTGGCTCAGCCAAGCCACAATGGGGAATGAGGAGGATAAGGAACTGGCGGCTAACGGCGGGGACAGTGAGACCAGAGCTACAAGAAGCCGGAGAAGAGGCGCACCTGGGGGCAGTGCCAGGGCGCAGGGCCGCGCGCGGTGCTAGGAAGTGCAAGCTTCGCTGAGACTTTTTATGGCCGTCCAGGGGGCGGAGCCGAAGGCCGTCACATACCCGGAAAGCTCACTGATTGGGCGCCGCCCGCGCGCCTCGCTCGCGGCGGGGAGGGCGCGGGATCGTGGTTTCTTTTTTCTTTTCCTTTTTTCTTTTTTCTTTTTTTTTAAGACAGGGTCCCGCTCTGTCACCCAGGCTTGAAGTGCAGTAGCGCGATCTCGGCTCACTGCAACCTCCGCCTCCCGGGTTCAAAGGATTCTCCTGTCTCAGCCTCCCGGGTAGCTGCGATTACAGGCGCGCAGCACCATACCCTGCTAATTTTTGTATTTTTAGTGGGGACGGGGTTTCACCGTGTTGGTCAGACTGGTCTCGAACTCCTGATCTCGTGATCTTACCTCCTCGGCCTCCCAAAGTGCTGGGATTACAGGAGTGAGCCACCGCGTTCGGCCTGTGGTTTCTTTGGAAGGGGGCGGGCTGACTCCCAGCTCCAGGGTTCTGCACAGTGATTCTTTACCGCCGCGGGATCCCAGTTGCACTGCTGGCCATTAAGGGGCCTATTTAGGGAGGTAGAGTCCCAAGTTGTGGCAGCACGAAAGGTCCTGAACCTGTCGGGACTGGGGCGCGTTCTTGGCGCTTCAGTGACGTCTTTGGTGGAAAGTCCTTTTGGGCGAGATTTCTGAGTTGGACCACCACCCTCTATAGGACGGTTTTTCGGGACTTTGGCTTACTAAAGAGATTGCATTTCTTTGCAAAGTGCGAGCGCCTCCAATGCCTGAGGATTCTTTCCTGACCCAATCTCTCTCTTTTTTTTTTTTTGGACAGGGTCTTGCTCTGTCACCCAGAATGGGAGTGCGGTGGCGCTATCTCAGCTCGCTGCAACCTCTGCCTCCCAGGTTCAAGTGATTCTCGTGCCTCCGCCTCCTAAGTAACTAGGATTACAGTCATGCTCCACTACGCCGGGCTAATTTTTGTGTTTTTAGTAGAGACGGGGTTTCACCATGTTGGCCAGGCTGGTGTTGGCCAGGCTGGTCTCGAACTCCTGACCTCAAGTGATCTGCCCGTCTCGACCTCCGAAAGTGCTGGGATTACCTGCGTGAGACACCGCTCCCGGCCCCTTTTTTCAAATGCCCCCAATCCCCCATGCTTTCAGCCGGCGCGCGGGTTTGTGGGGGGCGGGAGGGGGGAGTCGCTACCCGCGAGTCTAGGCCCCTAGCGCCAGCGATTCGAACCCGAAGCCTCTCTGCGCTCCTAGGCACCTGCGGCCGTTGAGCGCAAAGCTTCCAACCGTCCGCCAGAAAAACGGCTAGGTCCCAACGTCCGCCAGGAAAGCAAGATTCATGTTCAGTTTATTTCTGCGGCTTCAGGGTCACATGGATCCAGCTTCAGTTCACCAGCCGAAAACTTTGCACCCCTCCCTTTATATTTATTTATTTTTAAAGCATAACCTCCCAGAGATGACCAAGCAAGGAGAAGTCCTTGGATGAGATGCTGAGTTCTTTGCCCGAGCGCCTGCAGCCCGATTGCAGCGCATCCTCCAGGGTGGTCCTAGGGAACTGCCAGTTGAGGGAGCTGTTGAAGTGTCGGCCCACGCCAGGCTTGGCACGCGGTGTCCTCAACCCCGTGCTGAGTTCCGTGCTAATGCATTATGTAAATGCTTAAATTCTGCAGACAAAGGCCACAAAGGAGAGCCTCGGTTGGCTCCACAAAGCAGCCCAGTTCGGGGCTAATAGGTTTCATCAGAAAGCAGATTCTACGCTCGCCTGGGGGAGGGTACTCTGCGGATGATGGATGAAGGAACATTCATCTTACCTGGAAGACGAAGGGAGCCATGGAGACCAGGCGGCGGGAAGGACTGCTCCCCTTTATCCTAGGAGGCCGGACCTTTGCTCCCACCCTCAGTCTGCCGTCAGCGATCTGTCCCCGTCTCCCCGCTTGCCGGTGACTTTTGTTCATACACAAACGATTGCGCATCACATTTTAGCCCCAGCAAAGAAGAGAAAACTCCCACAAACGAATCGAAAGAGGAAGGTGGGGAAAGGGAGAGAGCCAGTGGACCTGGAGGTTTTTTTTATTTTCCCAGTTTACTACCAAAATTTAAACAAAAGCTCCCAGGTGGCGAATTGCTGAAACTAATCAGCTCCGCACGGGGAGCTTGCTGGCCTCTAGCAGCACAGCAATCAGCACACTTCTCTAAAACCGGGGGAGTCTGATCCAGACCTCGGTGTGTACGTTAAATGCAGACCGAAGTCAGACTTTGAACTGGCTCCTCTGGTCCAGTTCTGGGAAAGCGCCAATACCAAAGCCTCTGGTGTCACGGGCCAAAGGGCACCTAGAGATCAAAGGAGACGTGGTAATTAGCGGTTTCCGTCCCTGGTGGTCACTAAGGCGGCTTATAATACCTAATGACTATGGCCTCCACCTGGGAACTTGCGGGAGACAAAAGTATGGAGAATTGCTTCACAGCTCAACATAGCTACATATCTATAGGTAATTCTTAAATATATATATATATATATATATATATATATATAATGTATACATGTGTATATAACATATATAAAATAATTCATATGGATTAATTTCTCCGGCTTCAGAGTCACATGGACCCAGATAAAAGAATTCATATGAATTATTTTATGTATATAAAAAATATATACATATGTATACTATTGTATATATAAAGAATTACCTATAGACTCTCCATAGCCTTTTCCCCACCGCGTTTTGGAAGACGCAAGCAGTGCCAAGCTGATTTATGTTTCATTTTTCTTTTTCTCCCGGTGGTGTCCATTTTCTGGCCGCCTTCTTTGGAAATTGCATCACTTCAAACAGCAAGGAGGTGAGAGACAGGAGGCATGAGTCTATATAGGTTGCTCAAGTGCAGATACCCTACTGCCTTGGAAATGAATGAGGACGCCGAGTGTCCATATTTTGTCGAAGGCAACTTTTGCCTCTGATAAATTCCGATTTTTAAAGCCAGAACGTTAATGCCATTCAATGAATTTATTTTGCTCAGTGGAACTGCCTGAAAGCAGCCCTCTCCGGCTGCTCTGCGTGCTAAGACTTTGGCTTCCCGCAGCGGCAGCTGGAAGGAGGCTGTGAAAACTCTTCATTTGCCTTGTTTCTGAAGTCTTCCCAGACCTCTTATGCGGGAAGCAGTTAGTGATGATTAGGCAGCTTTTCAACGGCAAAAATTACAGCGTGGAATGAGCTCCTCCTGGCTGGACTTCTCCGCTCCCGAGCCCCTTCGTCAAGGAGCGTTGTAAATTTACCTTCCAAAAGGCAGCTTCTCAATGTTATCAAAATCTCTTCTATTTCTGTGGTTGAGAGGTCAGTTTTTAATGGCTCCCTAGAGGCACACTTCGTAAAAATACATTTACACACTCATAGTCTCATGCCCCCAATAATATTTTCCTGCCTGCCTCAGTTTTAGCTAAAGGAAGAAAAGACTATCGCTGTAGTAGGTGGAAAGGCCCAAGAAATCTAACATTAGTTCTTCTAAATCAAAAGATGTCACATGGAGATAAGAGAAATTCCTCTACCACCACTTGCTGGAGAGACCTCTGGTTTCCTGGATCTTAAGAAAGGTGGCTACATTCTATGATAACGTTCTGCATGCAAACGCCTTAAATACGTGCGAATGGGTCACCAGGTCTGGCGGGAAGATTTAGAAAGTGCCTAGACTTTCCTGGTCAACACTCTGCACTCAGTGACCGACTCCCACTTTGGCCACTGCTTCTCCTACCTGCCTGCAGAAGGACAAACAACAGCTACAGTGTCCCCGCCGGCTGGACGGCCCCGGGGCCAGCGCCCTCAGGCCCACGTCCATTTCTCCCAGTAGCGCACACAGGCCAAGCAAGACTCGCCTGGGTCTCAGCGCAGAAGAGGCGGAAATTGAGGCTCGCAGGGACCCCCTTACTTCCGGACCTCATCTTCCCACCCGCTACCTCACTGGTAACTAGGACAGTGAAGAGGAGCAGAGTTCCGTAGAAGTCTAACCCTGAAAGGCTAACAGGTTTGCCACCAGTAGGCTTCTTATCTCTGGATCCTCCCTGCTCCTCAGAGAAGTCTTTGGCTGGAAGATATGATCACAGTATTAGAAATAATAATAACCAATATTTACTGTGTGCTTGTGCTTTCTGTGTGCTAGGCACAGAACTACCGTTTTCTTATTTAATCCTCATAACCCTATGAGGTATTATCTCCATTTGACACAGGAAGAAATTGAGGCTTATAACTTTGTCAAGCTTCTGTGCTAATGTGTGGGGATCAGGACTCAAGAACAGGTCTCTTTTGCCCCAGGCCCTTTACCATCACTGGGAAGACCTGCCTGTCCGTGAGTCTAACCACCCATCACCCATCATTTATTGAATGCCTGCTATATGGCAGGTGCTATGACCAACCCTAGAGGTTCAGTAAAACAGCTCACCCTAAACTTAGATCCCACACTTCCTTTGTAATCTATAATTAATTTCCCCCTTTCGAGTGTAAATTAGTTCAACCATTGTGGAAGACAGTGTGGCGATTCCTCAAGGACCTAGAAATAGAAATTCCATTTGACCCAGCAATCCCATTACTGGGTATATATCCAAAGGATTACAAATCGTTCTACTATAAGGACACGTGTACACGAATGTTCATTGCAGCACTGTTTACAATAGCAAAGACCTGGAACCAACCCAAATGCCCATCGACGATAGACTGGATAGGGAAAATGTGGCACATATACACCATGGAATATTATGCAGCCATAAAAAACGATGAGTTTGGGTCCTTAGTAGGGACATGGATGAACCTGGAAACCATCATTCTCAGCAAACTGACAGAAGAGCAGAAGATCAAACACCGCATGTTCTCACTCATAGGCGGGTGTTGAACAATGAGAACACATGGACACAGGGAGGGGAGCACTACACACTGGGGTCAGTTGGGGGGAAATAGGGGAGGGAGGGTGGGGGGTGGGAAGCTGGGGAGAGATAGCAAGGGGAGAAATGCCAGATGTAGGTGA